AACTGCCATGTCACTGACAACTTGAGCACAGTGTTGGAGAGTTAACAAAGCATGAGATTGGGCCGAGCTTCTATACGCTGCACATTCTCAGTTTGCTCGGCCTTTTGTTGCACTGGCCTTTGCCAAGGCTGCCCCAGATCCATTGAAACTCTTCACGGCTGCTGAGTGAGCCGAAAGATTTTGGTCACAAAGGCTGGAGCTAGTGGGATAATCTATCTTCGCTTCGGCAGCCCACCCCCTCTCTCTGCGTGCGATTCTGCACGTCTCCCAATCAAACTCTCCACTTCACTGCCTCCACGCAAGGAATGTAACTTGATAAGAGAATCGTACTCATCAAAGTATATTGGTTAGGAAAAGTTATACACAACTTTTAAGATCATGAATAATTCTCACTCATACAATTACTTATTTATTTGATACATGTATTCATCAAGTTGGTACATAAACATGACACTCAACATTGTAGATGTCAAAAGTTTTTCTCTTTACTTACTTCGTCGTGTGCCGTTTAAACAAAAGATTGATTAAAATAAATCTAATTAAGTTGTTAATTAGGATATTGGATGGCGGCTTGTGGTTTCCTGCCAACTTGTGGGAACTGCGAACAGTCTTTGCAAACAGGAACATGCATGAAACATTCCATTCACCCAAGGAAACGCTCTTCAGCCCTGTACCCCCACCCCTCCTCCCCACCATCTCTCCCCAAATCCCCATGAGTGGCATCCCCACTTCCTCGCACAAACCACAAACTGCACAGAGACCTGACCGCTGACCACCAGATAACTGTCCACCGCTGACAAACAGACCAGAACTGCTTCTAAAATGCATGTGTAGTAAAGGTTGTAGAAGTAGACCTTACAGTAACTATTAATACATAATTATATTCCGTATTTGAACCAAGTCGTGTTTGAGTAACTGTAGAATAGCTAAATGGAAAGATGTTGGCTCCATACACCAAATGCACATTATTTTACAGTTCATATAGTTGTGCTTACATTTTCATTGATTTTATTCTAGTTTTGCCATAGTGCAATCTTATTAAGTGTAGTGATGCTACTTTAAAGCAAAAGTGAGGAAATCCAAGAGTGAAGTGAGTACAAGCACAAGTTGGATTTAAAGAGGGAAGATAAGGAGTGTTCATAAGCTGCAAGGTTCACTCAATCAATTCACAAAATTGACAGAAGATTAACGAGCTCAACCAACAATCTTTGGATATTGGAGAAGCACTTTCTTTGAATCAGAGCAGCCAGTGCACTGTAAAAGTTATTTTGTCATTAAGATACATGGGACTTTAATACTCTTACAAGTCTGATCATGTACATATGTTCCTTGTAAATGTTCATAACCACAAGGTGTAACGTTAATCATGATTTGTAGAAATTTTACATATTTGCAATTGGAAGAATCATTAGACACCAATGTTTCATCTGAAGTAATTGCCCATATCTTTAGCGGCAATGCAGCTGCACAGACCAAATACTGAAATGTTAAAATCCAAATAGTTCTCTGACATGAACCAGAAAATACTTGTAAATTTTACCCAGCGAGGCATTGTGCAGTTCAGATGAGACTCAAGAGATAAGCGATGAATACAGAACAACCCGAACCACTTAACAGGAAAACACATCAAAATGCAGAGACCAAACAGCCTTGGGAGATGAGGCGCTGTGTTGAGAAATTTCCGTGTTAAGAAGGCTGCAATCTGGCTGCTATCCACCTGCTCAAAAGTGACTTACGATTAATCATGTCCCAACTCCAACGCTACATTGCCCAATCAAAATACCAGCGCTGGTTCTACAGCATATGTTGAACAGTTTCAATCCAAGCCAATCCATTTTATTTATATAGCACACTTCATAAAACATGTTTCCAAAGTGCTGCACAGAGACAAAAGTAACACAGTTAGATGTATGGTTAGATATACAGTAAGTCAACTAGCTGTATACATTCATTCATTCTTTCTCATCCCTTTATTATCCATTTCTGGATCGAAGGGATGTCAATCAGAGCTCCCATCCACATCAAATGTTAATATATAATTGTATTGCCAATTTGGCTCAGCTGTAGAAAAGCTAATTTGGCTCCATACATCAAATGTGAATATAATAATGCATCGATTTTATATTGCGCTTTTTTGGACACTCAAAGACGCTTTAGATGTCAATATTCATTCACTCCTACATGGTGGTGATAAACTACTACTGTAATGCCTGAGGACACGACAGCAGTTTGGCACTTTACAGCCGCCCCACTGTGGCATCAGTTGTTCCCAGAGGTTAAGTGTCTTGCCAAGGACACAACGACAGCAGACATCAGTGGGAGTCAGTGGAGAGGGTCCCGTGGTGGGCTCGAACCCACAACCTTCAGGCTCAAAGGCCAATGCTCTACCAAATGAGCTGTTGTCGCCCCAAATATACACATTATTTTACAATTCATAGTTTTGTGCGTACATTTTCATCGATTTCCCTTTTGCCGTGAAGTAATCTTGATGATGCCACTTTAAAAAGAAAATGAGGAAATCCAATAGTGAAGTGAGTCATTTGTGTTGAATTTGCCAACACAAATCAGAGAATCAAACAGTTCAAACACAAGAGAGAAAACAGACAACACATTGGTATTGATCCATAAAGGGCAGATGACCAATGTCCTGTATGTATTAAAAAAACTAGAAGTACTGTAACTTCATAAAGACATTAAGTTATGAAAAAAATTGAGTATTTCAAAAACAATAAAAACAATCTATTTTGTATACATGAATAAAAGTAAAAATGAAAACAGTACAATAGATCAAACAGAGGATCATACAAGTCACATGTTACATCCCAGAGTGTTAAAGTGTGTCTTAAGTGTAGTCTCAAGACACACTTTTACATGTTTACATTCATCATTTGAACTGGATTTGAATCTGGAAGTCTCCACACTTGAATTATCTTCCCTCCCATGCCGACTAATTACACGGTTTATTTTTTCTCCAGTGACGCTGCCTTTGTCGCCAAGTGGGATGTGTCACAATCTTGCTCCTCCATGTGAAGTTAGTCGTGACCGCACACCCACGCCGCCAGTGGAAAAGTGAATGGTAAATCTCCCTTGTGTTGGCGTTCAGCAACATTTAATAATAGCCTAGAGCTTTTGTTGAAACGATTGACTTTTCAGTATCTCGAGTGGTATACGCTCCAAAAAAAAGGTCCTTCAGCTCTCTCTTCACAGTCGTGTCTCCTTTTCGGCTGAAGTGTTAATGGATTTCCAATACAAGTACAGTATGAGGCTCTTGAACAACTTACATTGAAGTGTAGAGTTTTTATGTCTCGAAAAGCCACGCCACTGGAATTAATGGCACTTAAAGCAATAGTGACAATAGTCAAGGTAAGGCAAGTTTATTTATAGCACAATTCATACTCAAGGCAACTCAAAGTGCTGAACAAAACAAGAAACAATCACACAAGGCATAAATAATAAGAGATATAGGCTCTTATTTGTATGGATCTGCTTTGAAACTTTTGGCTTCATGACTACCAATTCAATCAATTTTTAAAACATTTTCCAGGCATCACTCTTCTCATTCAGACTGGCACTCAGCTTTCAACTTTCACTGGAATTCTGCAAAAAGTACTTAAATTATGCATGACTGGGTTGAGAGTTCTCCTTTATTCTGAGGAGCGTTTTCTTGAAATTAAAGTTCAGATTCAGATTCTACTGATGTATTCCAAAATGAAAAGAAATGTTTTAATTTGAATCGACAAAAACAAACACGGTCATTTTGCTCCTATAGTTTGATTTTTGTCATTGATATTGACAAACGTATGAAGAAAATGTATACATATAATCACCTTGAGTAATTTGTTTGTTCCCGCAGCCAGCATGAATACGATTGACCTCTCCTCACTTCATACTGCATATTTTTTTAAATAATCAATCACGCACAATGTTGTTTTGACATGGAACACATTTATCAGTAAGCCATCGTGAGCAGGGTCAATTAGAGTGGCTTGTAGTGGCCTAAACAGAGGTAATGACTGGGCGGGGGCACAGATTATCATTCTGAAGAGACTGCATGAGATTCACAATAGGACCCTGAGCTGTGGGGAGCACCTAATGAGCCAGCATGATTCACACTCAATCTCCCCCACTGAGTGCAATGTCCTGGGCACACAGAAACCATCCGGGTCAATCCATCACACTGTGTTACCACTTCATGTTCAAAGTGTAGGCTCATTGTCATAGATGTAATTTAACATTACATTTATGAAATTGTTTACAATAAATTAGTTGTTTGGTCTGGAAAGCTGGAAACTGTCTCAAACCCCTGTATGTTCCAGGGACCACAGATTGAATTCTGTCCAAACACATATTGCAGTACTACCTGTTCTGTACATGACACAGTATAATGCAAAATATACATACAATGCCAACACAATATTCTTGAAAAGGAGACTACATGGCCATAAAGACAATGTCTGCTCTACAGGTGCTTGGGTGAACCCAATCCATGCAACAGTTTGTTAAAGTTCATTTATTTTATTTTTCCCTTTGGACTGAAAGGAAAATATGTAAGCTTGTGCACATTCGATTGAATTCCTAATTTAAACGCACCCAGTATTAACAAAAAAAAGTTTGATATTTGCAAAAGTTCAACGGGCCATTTGCTATGATGTGAGCGGATAAGCCAGAATTAAATAATTTCTTTGTGCTTTGTTTCTATCCCTCATATATCCATAGACAAACATATAGTGAAGTGTATAGAGCGTGGAGCAGTGGCACTGGGTCTGTCAAATACCTTTGGCAGATATGAAAATAGCAGCAGCCAAATATCCATGCAGACTTTTAAAGCTGTGCGCGCTGTGATTGGCTGCTGGGGTCACGTGCTGCAGTCTCTGCGCTGTGCCTCGGCTCTGAGTGGAGTCTGTCTGCAACAGCCTCAGCCGCCGCTCCATCTGGATCTACTACATTACTCTATTACAGGAGGCCGCTTTTCTTCTGCTTTCTGTGGACTATTCTTCACCATGGGCGACAAAAAGAGCCCTACAAGGTAAAGGGACCTCTCGCTGTCGACTAGCGGCCGTTTGTTGGGATAGTGAGTGTGTGTTTGGATCCGCTGCGCTTTTCTCTCGCTTCACCTCAGCTAAGCTAGAATAGTGCCGTCACTATGGCGGCTCCTCGCTCCTACAGCCCAGTCACTTCACAGACAAAGGGAAATGTTTCCGAGGAGACGCCTGGCACTCTCTGAAACGCTCTTCCGTCTCCACGAAGCCTTTTGGAGGGACATTGTCGAAATGAGCACCGTGTGATATCGCTTTAGTTAGCCGACATGCTAAGCTTCTATGCCGAAAATGTAGCTCCGCTCTGAGTCTGGCTGACTGCTAGCCTTAGCAGATACAATTGGACGTGTGGATGTCGCCTGCTTCTCTGTGTGAGAGAATTTATTCACCAAGGGACTGGACTTTGCTGGACTACTTGTGTTAATAATGACAACACCATGAGACATCGTGGCAACTCCGCTCGTTTATGCATTGTCTTGTGTCTAATCTAATCCTTCTTGTTAATTGATGATCAGTGGTGTTGGAAACTTGACCTTAACATCTATTTCTTTTTTCAAAGGCCAAAAAGACAAGCCAAACAGGCGGACGACGGATACTGGGACTGTAGCGTGTGCACCTTCAGGAACACTGCCGAGGCGTTTAAATGCAGCATCTGCGATGTGAGGAAGGGCACATCCACAAGGTAAAGCCCCTCTCCCTGTCAGTCTCTCTTTCTCCCCACGAGCCTCTCCTCTTCTGCCCGGCTCTGCTCGACTTGGCGTGGTTGTTTGGTTTTTGCAACGGCGTTGCATCGTAATTCGTGACAGTGACAACTTTGATCGACAGCCGGTTTATCTGTGGCTGAAAGCAGGGACTTGTTGATGGGCACTCGGTCTCCCCTGCTGCTGCTGCTGCTATTGCTGCTGCTGTGTGGGTTTGCTCAAGTTTGCCATCTTTTATGCGACTGGCATTTGGGTTTCTTTCGTCTAGGTGGGCTGTCTGCCACATTATCCTTAGGATAAGTGGGAAAAGGGGTGAGTGGAGGCAACTGTACTTCATAATGTCTTTTCAGCTCCGGTGCATCAGCAGAGGCAGTTCTATTGCGTTCCCATGAAGTCACCCCGGGTGAAGGCATACGTCACCTGTCTGGGTGCACTGTCTCACTAGTGCAGGCTGCCAATCTTGAATGTGAGCGATGTACTTTGCTCCTCAGGTTAACCTCACGTGACAAAGATGATTTGCTTGAAAGCATAGCCCTTTAAGCGTTGTTAAAGATAATAAGAGGAATCCTGTCTTGTCTTGTGACATTTCACAATGTTTTTTCAAGTTCAACACATCACTTTAAAAAGCCATTAAGATATTATGTGTGTGACATACACCTGTTTGGACACTACTTCTCTCCAGTTCCTGTAAATAGCAATGTGCACATGGTGAAAATTGTGTATCTCACAATCTTTCTCTGCTCTCTAAATATAACTTAAATTCCTGTACTACATGACTCACTTGTCAACTTTTTATAAGAAGTGCTTTCGATGTCTGAGTTACTCAGCAGAAATCGGCTGCTTCTGGGAAACTGATGAAGTAGCTGTTAATGCCACACCGGGATTCCCTTTAGTTTTGTACACTGCCCCCTCATCTCTTCTGTTCTGAGGAATGTTTTTGCTGATAAGTAGCATGTTTATATGTCATCAGCTGTGTGACAATGATGGAGAGATGAATGACTCACTTCAGTACCTTGTGGCTCTAGTGGTGGATTCCCCCAGCAGTATAACGACCTATCCTGCTGCCGCCGTCTTCACAACGTCTCGCACTGACACCTCTGTTACACCGCAGGGAGCTGGGACTGTTTGTTTACATGCACAGTTTAGCACAAGCGGGACGTCACATTGAGTCATACTCTTTTGATGTGGTCAAGGTTTTTTAGATTTATACAGTGTTTCTCAAGCTCAACTTTTAGACTGATCCTTTGAACACTGAACATTGTGGCTATGGGCGCAAATGTGATATTTCTTTTTCCATGTAATTTTTTTACAAGCCTGTATAACAAACTAGTGAAACCTCTGCACTCAGGTAAACTTTAGACTGTCTGCAAAATTGTTCTCTATGTTTCTGTATACATGCTAAAATGATATTATATATGATTAGCGTCTGTGTCAGTTGGTGCATTTCCACTATGCCTTTTGCAACTCAAAGTGTAACATTGACTCAAATCAATATTGGTCCACATTTGTTTTAATTTGTTCTCAGTTACATAGCCACAGCTTTCATTTTGTTACTAGGGCCGGGCGATATGGTGAAAAACAAAATCTTTTGATATATTTGTTTTATTATATATATATAACGATATCTTTAAAGGATAAATAACCGCGCAAAAACTACTGCTACTGCTGAATATATTTAACCCTCAAAGAGGAGTTAGTTCAAGTAGGAACAAAGTGCTTCTGTCACATTTGTTTTAATTTAATGTTTTTAAAGAAATTATACATATTGGCTTTTTTCATTCAAAAATAAAACTACCCAACTCAATGTGAATCTCAAATAGAAACAAAGTGCTTCTGCTGCATTTAAGATAAAAAACCCTGATTACATAAATATTAAGTGACTTGTTCCTATTCAGCCACCCTCTCCATAGGGCACAGTCCTGTATTGCAGAGTAATGCCTCGACTGTAATCTCCGGTGGAACTCTTCACTCTGCTATCAAAGAACCAGGGTTAATTAGGTAACCTTACGTTTTGGTTTTAGCTACGTATAAAGTTTGTCTCTGGTATAATTGTTACTCTGAAGCTGTGTTCAGATCGGATCATACATAGCGACGAGTTTCAATGCAAAGTCAATGGTGACGTCCACCCATGCAAAGAATTGTATACATATACGTCACAGCACGCACTTTTGTCCGGCACAGCAGACGCCTTGTCACAGCGCGGAAGAGGTGGTGAGTACGGCGGCTAGATGCATACAATGAAAGCAGGAGATGAACATTCTCGCTCCACACATGTGCAGCAACCAATCAGAGAGCAGCAAAGTGGTCACAGGGAAACGAGCCAGTACAAACAGGCGCTCGAAAAACAACAAAATATGAGCTAAACCAGGATTAAACCAGGGCTGACAATGGGGGACGCAGTGCTTGTGAACATACGTATTCTCTCTGAGTTGACATTCTATGTGACTATAAACAACTGTTGCTAACGTGTTTGCTGATGTAGAAGTACCGGCGTAAGCATCAAAGCCCGCCCACCCCGCCCTGTGTTTTCCCCCAACGCAGGGCAGTACGTCAGATTGACTAAACTCATGCAGCTGATATTTATCTTAAACTTACGTCCATGCCTCCATCAAGGCAAGTCCATGCATCAGCGGTGGGAACACAGATTTACAGTTGCGAGTCCTTGGCAGTGAGAGCAATCTTAATTGCATAGGTCCCCTCCCCCTCCTTTCCTCCGCTTCTCCACACATAAGCGGAGATCGGCAGGGAAAGCATGGTGCGGCGCATGCATCTGACCATGCTGCTTTGGCAATAGCCCAGCAGCCTCTATTTGGTAAATGGGAGCACATGACATCAGTGAAGTGGTTGTCACAGATCCCTGTTTGATTTAAAGTAGTTAACCTTTGATTAATGTGATTGTTTAGGTGTGGACTGCCTCTTATTCTAATGAGTACTAATTAGCTGTCTCTGCTGCACTGTTTGATGTATTTCATTTGGAGCATGGGATGAAGCGGTGTGCTTTCAGCTAAATGAATCACATTTAAAGCACTGTGCAGGTTTATCTGCTTTCATCTCGGCCTGGAGTTTAGACGGGCATGTGCTCCAGGACTGTGTGCTGAATAATTACTCCCTGCACTTCAGTCATAACTTTGAAGATGGATGTGGATCACGTTTGTTTCTCTGAAGGTAGAATTATTGGTGTTTGCTGCATACAATACTGAACTGATTTTGTATGTGTATGGGCAAATACCTTTTGACAGTTTTGAGTAAGGCTGTGCCAGATGATTTTTTTGTTTTTGTCATTTGAGAATTATTTCTGGTGGCTGTAAGTGTAAGCTCAAATGGACATGTTTAGTCCATGGCAATATCAGGCAATGTGTAGACTTAAAAGGGACCTATTCTTATTTTGTTGGTATATTGTGGTCTTTTTTTGTGTTAAATAAAACTCATTTTGACAGATAGTTTCACCCTTAGCGGTTTCTATGAATAATTATCACGCAAAAAGAAATTCGCAGGAAAATTGCCCCGACTGGAAATGACGTACACATAGGGGTCTTTGTGCTTTGTTGTTATGCTATTTGTAAGCCATAACGTTGTATACGGACGTTTTAAACAGATATTTGTTATTTAGTCATGGACAATACAAGGCGAGGGCTCTTTCTGAGCCCTTGCCCACTTGTTATGACAGTAATTCTGATTTTGAGGATTCGGACGTCCGTTCAGATGAGGAGCAATCTCCAAGAAATGAACATTTGCGGACATTAGGGCCGTTTCCACAGGCTGGACTCATGGATCTGTGGTTCGACTCGCCTCGACCCGGTTTACGGATGCAGTCAACACAGATGCAGTTTGAGCTCGATGGTGCCACCCGAGTGAGTGTAAGTAACTGTTATCGAAGATAGCGCTAGGGACGAAGGAATGGATATCACGGACATCGCAGTGCAGAGAAAAGTTAAGAAGTGTAAAAGTGACTACCCTGAAATGAAAGATAACAGCAGTAAAAGTGACAGAACTGAAAAGTCTGAAGGTGCTTTGACAACATGGATTATTTTTACTGACCTCAGCCAACATGCTAACACCAGCTAACACGTCAAAACCCGCAACACCGAGAGAGAAGCCTCAACTCTTTGTCCCAGCTCCAGATGTTGAGTTAGAGAGAAATGGTGAGTGTCTGTCTTCAATCAAATGCAAACATATATTATGGTCTTATTTTGAACGTGTGTCTGTGGTTCTAAAGTCTTAAAACATGATGGTATGTGTCATATCTATATCTTTCTATCTAAATACTGGGTTGAAACTGATTTTAGTTGGAGCTTGATGGAACTAATTTTGGGTGGCATCATCAAGCTCACGCTGGTGTCTTCTCTCAGTTTGGACCGTCGCCTTCTCTGAATAAGTCAAAGATCGTAGGGACTGCTGTTTACACTTTCGGTAACTTTCATTGCTGCATCCCAGGGGCATGCAAAATACACCCATTTTAAGTAAATTCTTGTTCTTTTTTCTCTACAGTCTTATTTGTGTCGCAGCAGAAGCACAGTCGTAAACTACGTCATCAATTTTCTGACCAATCAGAGGCGTTCATATTGAAAACTTATTTTACTGATTTTTTTAATTATCTATAGCACAAAAACACATTGCTGAGGTGGGAAATGCATGTTTGTATTGTGTTCTATATATAAAAAATAGTCCATGAATTCCATAAAGACGGCATCTGGTTGCATAAGGCTTCTGTGGCACCCAGGATAAACGCAGCAACATTTTTGAGATTTTGGACATTTTTAACACCCCTGCCTACAGGACAAAGTTTCTCCTGAAAATTAACTTTTACACGTATCAATAATAACTTGAACGTCACTCTGCCTTGCTCTATTCGGGACAAAGGGCATCTTTGTCCTGTTATCACCTCTGAAGATGTCATTGACCCTCACTGACAAATGCTGTGTTCATGAGTTTCGCAACTTTTATTGGGTTTACAGAAACTTTCAAAGTTCTTTACAAATGC